CAGTTATCTGTATAACACCAATGTTTCTTCCTTGCTCAGCTTCCTTTAGTTTCAAACAAATTTGTATATTTTGAAAATATATACGATAAGCGCTGTCTCTTGTCCACAAGCCTCATCTCTTAATCAAGTTTCAAGAGACAAAAACTACTGGCTGAGAACTAGCAAGGTTCCTTCTAAAAAACAAGATATAATCACTGTTGCAAAACCCTGAGGATTATAATATGGATCTCTGATTTACATTAGAAGAGATTTACTCTCATTGTATGTTTAGATCCATCAATCTGAAAATTATATTCAAGCTACCTTTTCTTTTAAAGCTGATCTTAATTCCAGAAATAATCATACTCCCAAGAGATGCAATGGTATTCTCAGAAGTAAAAAAGTGAATATCATCAAGATTGAGTATTATCATTCTAATGATCATTTGCCCTCGGCTATGGCCATGGTAGAACTTTTAAATCAATATTTTCAAAGTATGCTTATTAAAAAAGAGTGTTTTCAGTATAAAAGCTATTTTTTTCCATTTCACATTTTATCTAAATTGGTTAACTTTCACTGGTTCTATCCCTTAATAAGTAAACTAATTTAGTGATTATTTTGTGTTTCAAGTAAAAGAAATATTATTTTTAAGTAGAACATTAAGTAAGAACCCCAGAACTTACTCGCAATTTGCCATGATATGGCATGCAAAATATCTACCTATACCTTTTCACACGATGGTGAACCCAGTATGAAAGTTTTAAAAGATAAATTTGCTGTACTATTTTTCTCTGTTTTATAACACTTATGTTTAAAATTTACTTTAAAAGAACAAGTGGTTAAGCACTTTTACAGTGCTTTTAGGAAAATACTACTTTACACATTAGAAATGCATAAATACATTTCTATGCATCCATGTATACATGTCTATCTATAAAGCAAAAATACAGCCAGAAGCTGTACAGGATCAAATATGAATGCATTTAGGTAGACTAATATTTTTTTTACATATATATGCCTATAATTGTTTGTATTTATTTCCATTCATTCATATATAAATAAATAATCAGAAGTAAAGTTCTCCAAATATAACCAGCATCAAGTTGTTTCCAGTTAACATGCAAGCATACTTATAAAATATACCTATTAATTACTTAATTATATTAATATTATAAAGAGTACTAAATATTATTAATATTAATTAATTATTTTATATCTAATCATTTATGATACTAAGAGGAATTCATGTTAAATGGAATTTTGAGATTATATCTGCAAAATCTCACTTCTTAAAATTAATTTTAAAATGGAAAAATAGATATTTGTTGTTATATTGGTTCCCTAGAAAATATAAAAATGCAAGAAATGATAAAAAATTAAAATTTTTCATATTGCTGAGATGTTGAAACATTATTTCACAAACACAGGTTGATGGAAATTATTTTCATAAGTGTCAGCTTGCAGAAATAGACATCACAAGCTGAACATACAATAAAACTGAAGCTCACTCTCCACATCTACTTTCTTCCTGCCACTGCTTTCACTGATATAGAAATACCAAAAGGGTGAACAAGACAGCTATGGACAGTTAGCAGAATTTATTCAGCTGTATGACATCCCAAGGGGAGTGACACACCCTTTTTCGAAGGTTGTGCTGCCCCTTCCTGACTCATATCAGGTCATCTACAAGCTGTCAGGAAACAGATATTTTTGTTTTCTTACATTGTGCATTTTTTAGAAATTAGTATTTGTCTCTAAAGGAATGTATTGCAAATTTAAGTGGATGATATGCAGCTTTTTTGAGAACATTTGCCATAGTCCTGAAATTTTATTTTTCTTCTTTAGTCACATGAGGCAACAGATAAATAAAGTGTATGAAAGGAATTTAAAAAAACCTAAGAACTGAACTATGAGAGAATTAGGAAAAATGATAAAAAGAAGTAGGTCAGAGAAAAAGGGTTTTCTGGCTTTATGTTTTTGTTTTGTGGGTGCTTTCATTTAGTTAGATTTATTTACTTATTTTTAACTGTTATTAGTTTATTTAGTATGAAAATATAAATACTGCCATTAAAGGTTGGCATGGACATGACCTTGATAAAAGGTTGGGTAATTTTCTTATATTCATTTTCCAGTGAAATAGTTATTTTTATCCATTGGTTTTGTATCAGTTAATTTTTTTTCTTTCAAATCTCCATAAGGATGATCATGTAATTCTTAAGTGAAGAAGAAAGTTGAAATAATTTATTTATTTATTAGGTAATATTTTTAAAATAGATACATAATATAATTTTTAATCTTTATATATTTTATATATTTATATTTATTATATATTGATACAATATATAATTATATAATATATATTTGTATAATATACATTTGTAAAATATAATATACAATAAATATATATTTATTGTTTATTATATAAATATATTATATCTATTTTATATATTATATTATATACTAAGATATATTTTTTATATTTATTATATAATTATTAAAAAAAACAAAGCAACATAATAAGATTTAGGAAATCAGTGCTACTATTGCTTAGCTTTACCTGTGTCCTGGTTTTATATAATAAATTCATAATTTATATAATATATATACAGTTTATATAAAAAATTATTAAATCTGGCATACCACAAACCTTTGTTTAAACTTCTAACTTAACAAAGCATGGTTCTGATCCAAATTTTGCAAGGACTACTTATACTTACTAGCTGTTTGTGTCAGTCTAAATTCTACTTCAGTCATGTATATAAATTTCAGTCCAATAAAACAACATGAGAAAGTTCTCTGACAAATCTGCTGTACATACAGTTTACAAACAATACTGAGGAGAATCCCATGTTTTATAGTCACCATTGACATCTATTAATTCTTGCAAGGAATTAATAGACTAATTAGACTGTTTATCTTTCTACTTTAAATAAACTGGAAAGATGGTAATATTGGTAAAGAGCCCTTTTGCGTATTAAATCCCTTCCAGATGCAACTTTTTTAATTGTTCCAACTATGCTAAACTTAAGTGATACAATTTAAAGAAGTGGCAAAATGGGGCTTTTGTGGGTTGTTTTTTTTTTTCTTTTTTGTTGGGTTTTTGAAGGTCTGACAGCTTTTTTTTTAATTTTACCACAAAAGTTAATGTTTTCTATTTTTTATCATTTGGGGAGGTTTATTTGGTTTTTTTTGGGTTTTTTTTACTATTAAATCCTCTTCCCCCTTACTTTGCCATAATTTTATTATATTTATCAATTATTACAGTTAGCTTAGGTGCCTCCTATATTTATACCCATAAAGGTCCTTTAGCATAAAGTTTCCTCAGACCATGAGACACTTTTGTCTTTGTATACTTCTTTCTTTGAAAATAAAGCTTTATTATACACAAGACACACACACATATATATGCTTGTGTGCATTTTATATAGCATCGGTTGTTCAAAACATAAGGGGAAAATGTTACCAGGAGTCTTATATTAACTACTGTATTAACTGATATATTGATTGCTACCAGTATTATAGCGAGGCTTCTCTAACATTGACTTCAATGTGTTGTCATTAAACACTTCCAATTTTTTCTCAACCACCAGAAATTAACAAACTTCACTATTATCTATACAGTTAATAGTTTTGACCATAGTAGATTTGCTTACTGATAAAGAATTGTGGGTTAGCAGTGACTGATCAATTTCATTCTGAAGGACTGAGCAAAAGGACAAGAAATAACCTCATGAAAAACCAGCAGAAACAAAATGGAAACAAAGTCCACTAGAGCTGCCCATATATAAAGAAAGTATATTTTACATGATTGTTTATAAATTGATAATACAAAACTTTAAAATTTAGGCTTTTACAAGAAACTTTTGAAACCAAAACATGCCATGAAACTAAAAAATTTTAACTCAGTACATAAGTCGCAACATGGCAAAACAGAACTACTACCTTCACACAGTGACTGGAAACATAAAGCAAAGCTGACAGATCTGTTCTCCTGGGTTTAGGTTTCCACAGTCTAGAAGTGCCATTTGCTGCCCATGTATGCACAGTATGACAGCTATTTGTGTTATACAAATGAGGTTTACTCATGAGTTTGATCTCAATTGAATGCTAATCATATTGTCCCTTGTTATGAAACAAGCACTTTACTTTGTTATGTCTAATATTATGAAACAAGCTTAAAACACAGGAGAATATTTTGGTAACCTGCTTAAGCTTGCTTGTCTCAATAGCTATATTACATTACTTATTAAATTATTTCACAAACTTGCTAAATATCAATGTATTTTGTTCAATTGACTTTATGTTAAGAAAAATGCTTCTCAAAAAACTTAGTATATTGAAAAGCATAAAATTTTATTTGTGGCAACCAAGATTCCCAGTAGTTTTATTTTTCATGTAACAGCTATCCTGTCTTATCTCTCACTCCACAACATTGTAACATAAAAATCCTGCAGGTAGAAATAATTTTGATAAAACCTGAAACGTGTTAGTATTACTCTTTTCTGCTGCTTGGCCTTGACTCACAGCTGAAAGACAGCTCCTCACCAGTTGTTTAATGTTCAGAAATGCAGCTTACATCTGGAGAACCTCTGTCATTTTTGCAGATTATTACCTCTTTGGTTCATGTTATCTCTCTCTGAAATTACAGCACTTTCTGTGTTTGATGACTATGTTAACACTAGTCTCAAAATGCAAAATGTTCGAATTCCACATAGAGCATTGAAGTACAGTTATGCTATGATGTCTTCAGTCAAACTATGTTAAAACACAACAAACAAAGGAAATATGAACAATTTTATTTTACTGGTACAGGTACTGGTACAGAACCTCCTTCTTCCTCATAATATCTTGAAACAAATAGAGATTAATTAATCACTGATATTACTGGCTGACATTATCACAGACTGGGTGGGACTTCTTTCTTTTTTTTTTTTTAATGTGCCAGAAAATATAATCATATGCTCAGTTATTCACAGAACCATCCCAATTTTGGATAAAGAAATAAAAAAATTACTACTCACCCTGAGCTTGCAGGTTTGGAACACAATCAAAGCAACTCTATCCTGAGATCTGAAAAACACAAAACAAAAGCTTTCCATCATATCTGACAATAAATAGTCAGATATTAGATATAAAAAAACCATCAAACAAGTAAATGCTTGTTCAATACTTATGAAAACCACAAATAATTAACATACATATGCCATAAATTAATATCAATTGACTTAAATCTCAAATAGCACATGTTGAAAGAAGCATATTTTATGTCAGAAAAGCAGCAGAAAAAAGCTTTCAGCAGCTTTTCAGCAGAAAAGCTTTCAAGTGTGTTCAATCTTCTTCTCCCTACACCCCAACAGTGTTTTGAAGAAAAACCAATTTGAAGCTCTTTCCTGGAAATTAGAATTTGTGAATTTCTGTGGAGACCAGTAAACTCCAGGGACATATGGGTAGTGTTCAGACTGCACACCACAGCAGTTTAAATTATGACTTGAGAAGTTTTTTTGAACATAAAAATATCCTTTGGAAAACAAATTACTATAATGGTCAGAAGGTAATAAAAAACATCAGACCATATTTTAGGATTTAAGTTTAAGGAGGGGGAAATAAAAAAAATCAAGAAATAATAATAAAGGATGTATTTTCATATTTGAAAGGGATCAGAATGCTTTGTGGAGACTGATGAAAGTGCATCAGGGTAAAAGCAATAAATAGAGAGTCTGACTGGACATGGATGTTCGTAAATATGGGGATGCAAAAAAGGAAAGTTTTCTATAAAAGCAGAGGAAGAAAACAGATTAGTGCAGCAAATCTCCTTTATGATCATCAAATACAAATGATTCATCATTGATTTAACATTCATTTCATGGAACTGGATGCATTTCTTTATAATTGCTAAGATTTGTTAAAATTATCAATACTATAACCATGGTTATTCCATTAATAAGGTTTGAGGTTACACATTAGCTTAATAAGAACAATCTAAAATTGATTTTCCTGCAGCAAATTACTTTCCAACTTTTTGTCTACAGGCATTTTTCTCTCTCCAGTGCAACATTAACAAAGATTAATGCTCAAAATTTAAAATCTGGTAAATAAGTATTAGAAAACACAGAAAGTAAAAATGTGTCTCTTTGAACAGAAAGAAAAGAAAGATGCATAAAAAAAATTATGCATAAACATAATATAAAATTTATGTTAGTTTTATGCTAATAATATTTAACATATAAATGGAGAATATTAGATGCCATAATGGTAATCTGCATGCTTTGGAGGAAGCACGTATGCCTCTCTAATCTTAAGATTATTCAAGACATCCTATTAACAGATTATCCATTCAGTGTTTGCAGTGTTGCCAAGTTCTAACAATTTTTCCATGGTGTTTGTATTAGACAAAATAATTTTGTGTAGTTTTTTAGTTATTGGTTTATTTTTCTTTATATTGGTTGGGTTTTTTTTGTTTGTTTCTTTGTTTGCTTTTGAAGGATGACTGTTGGGGTTTGGGTTTGTTTGTTGGTTTGGGTTTTTTTTCATAGCTCAAAGATTGACAGATATTTTTCTTGAAGTATTTTATGTTCCTATTCAAAAAAAGAACCTGAGGATAAATACATATATACACTTATCCTTTCTTTATATAAAAATAGTCTGGTTATTTTTACTTTTAAATTTTCTTACTAGGGATTGAGTTTAACATCTGACAGTGAAAATCAACTGGGCCCAGCAGAACTGTGTCAATGTCTCCAAATTAAAGACCTCAGAATTTCCACCACAAAAGTGCTTTTAGTCTTAGGTCTCTCAACCTGCTGAACAGTCTGTTCTGTTTCTGCAGAAGTCATAATGGAACACTGTTACTATTTTGCTAGGGGGAATAAAACAAGAGAAAAACGCCAAACCAACCCAACAAAATTCTTATTTAAGTAAGTTTAACTTATTTTATTTCTCCAATAAAATTTTCTCACTTGTTTTTATTTTATTTTGTATTTCTCTTCCCTTTCCTTGTCCTAGGACAGCAGCAGTATATGAACTCTGATAGGAGAATCACAGTGCAAGTGAAAATGTGGCTATTAAGCTAAATATACTTTGCAAGCAGAGTGTCTTAAGACTCTAAATTAACCTGAAGCTCACTACAGCTATTTCCTGTTTTATTATTTTGAATTTCTGTGGAGATAATTACGCTGGTCTATTTTGCTCTAGTTTTAACCAACTGCAGAAGAAAGTTACCTAGAATTGAAATTAGGTGCAAAACCCCCTATATTACTACCTTCCCTACAAGATTAGTTGATTGTGGCAGCACTCTGATCCTTACATAGAAAGCCTCCAAGTATTTAAAATCAAGAAATTATATGTTAATAATCCTTAAACATAATCTTAGTCCTGCTGTGAACTAAAATATTGATCCAGAAAAGCTACAATTTTTTTCTGTCCACAAAATTTTGTGCTCTGTAAAATTATCTTGGGAGTTTTAGTTATACACTCTCAGGTTTAGATGAAAATGCTATTTTTATACATTATTTCTATTGTTTCTATGTATATAAACTGAAAATATCAATAAGATATTTCATTGTATTGTATTGCCAGAAATTAATTGTACTTTAAAGAGAACAGGAACTCTGTCTCCTGGAAGTAATTTGGTTTTACTTAATGTGAAACGTGATTTATTTTCTAAGTTTGCTCACACAACTCAAGGACATTATTCAGCAATAATTTAGATGCTTATTGAATTTCCACTGTTACAGGAGGTTTCTTCAACAATTGTCAAGTTTTTAAGGCTTATTTTCACAAATTTATTTAAATTTCACCAGACCTGAAATCATCACAATTTTAGAAAACAAGAAAGAGACTATTATAATATGAAAATATTTTATTCTATTGAGATTATCACTTCAGTAAAAAATACACTGATAGTGTTTGCTAACTAAGTAGACTATTGCATTTTCAACCTCTTTTTATAACTCCCCCTATTTTGAGGCACCATATGAACTACCAGGCAATAACTATCACTCTGTGATGACTCAGAAGTGGACAATGATATTGTACCTCCCTTTCAACAAGTCAGGAAAAAAAAAATAAAGAAAATAAAATGTTGTTTTCAATGGTCTTTTTGCAATTTGAATTTTAAATACTGTTTATAATTCAACATAGAAAATAATTTCTGGTACTTTTATGATGTTGAATACGGAGACAAATTCCAGAAGGAATTCCAACAGTGTGTATTACCATCACCCATTAATTCTACTTTTCTTTGCAAAGGTTTTACCAAGTATCAACGGACTTGAAAAACTAAATTCAATCCTCAGAAAAGCATTGTCCAAATTCTTATTTCACTCCCAATGGTAGCATCCTGAGATATCTCTTCCAAAAGGAGGATAAAAGTTAAGGGTGTTCCAAACAGTCAATGAAAGAGAAATTTTTAACATTTCATTTAAGTGGAATTTAGATTTTTACACCAATATCTAGTTATTTTTGCACATCTAAAGTAATCTAGATTTTTTCATGGAGAAAGGGAGACTCAAGGGGGATCCTACTGATCTCTGCTTATGCGTGAAAGGGAATTGTAGTGTGGTGGGGGATCAGCCTATTCTCCCAGGTGGCAAGATGTGGGATAGGAAGAAATGGTCTTGAGTTTCATCAGGGCAGATTGTAGGTTAGGAAAAATTTCTTCACTGAAAGGGTAGCTAGGCATTGGAAGAGATTTCTTAAGATTATATCATCCCCTGTACTTGGCCAAACGGTTTAGTGGTGAACACAGCAGTGCTTGGTGAAAGGTTGGACTTGATTAGCTTTGAGATCTTTTCCACTCTAATGATTCTATTATCCTATGAATTCAAGATCCTTTTCAATTTCTTACATTTTTAGAAAAACAGCAAATTGTAAAAGAGATTGGTAATAGTTACATAGACTACTGTGTTTTATTCTTTCACCACTGGAAACAGATTTGAGTAAAGCCTAATATATGAGCAATAGGAATGCATTTTAGTTAGGACTGCTCTGTAATTTTCCTGATATCTTGTCCTGGGGTGACTTTATGACACTGGTATCCCCAAAAGCCTAGTTTATGTTATATATTAAGTTCTGCACCTTTAAAGTTAGCTTTAGGAGCTAGGGTAGTTGAAGCTGCTGAAGGCTGATGGGAGTTTCTTCTGAGCAATAACTCACTATTTCTGAGACTTGACAGTGATTTTGACCATTAAAAAGTGAGCTCAACCTGTGAACACCACCTTAAAACGTAAGTCCGGGAATTTCTTATCTCTTTGGTTTCGGGCTTTTGAAGAGGTAACAAGGCTCCAGCTCCAGCTTGGCCTCCCCCTCCCCCCAGCCAGGCCAGACAAGGCCGCGGAGTGAGGGGGGAAGGCGAGTGGGCCCAGGCCAGGTCAGGCCGGTTCCCCCGGCTCGGCTGCAGTTTCTGCTGCAGCTGAGTTTCTCCAGAGACTGCCAACTAAAGAGAAAAGTCATCACAGACAGCTCCAGCCGCTGCTCCGGCAGAGATAACAGAACCAGCTACAAGGCCTGGGCAAGATTTTAACCCTTTCATTACCCAGATGAAACTTGCAGATTAATCCTTTTTTTTCCCGAGAGAGAAAGAGTAATCAACATGTAAAAGAGACCCTATAAACTACCAAAGACAGTGAAGAAAGGAATTAAGCCTCAGAGGAGGTAGAGAAAGAGGCAGAGAAAGAAGGAGATGCTTTAATAAGCTTTCTGTTAAAGCTATGGAGATAGACAGTAATGTTCTGAAAAAACTCCTTAAATTCATGACAGAGTATATTGGGAGGAATGGAGTGTTTCAAAGTGGAGATGTTGAGCAAATGGTGAAGTAGTGGTACTGTGAGGTGCTGGAACAGAGGGAGAGAAGTAATAGTTGAAGATTTGTGGCCTTTAAGAGGGAAACAGAAAAATTCTGTTTCCAGGGAGGCTCACAAAAACAGATGAAGAGAACTTTTGCCTTTGAATAACTCATTCCTTAAAAATGACATCCCTAAACTCATTGACCCATAACACACCTCAGAGTGATGTGAAATGGGAGGAGAGAACTGATGGCAGAATTTCCAGGCAGCCGGCATCAGAGAACTATG